GTGTCAAATGTAAGCATTAACTTTAAACGTCAACATCTACCACATTTACTATTGAACACATTGCCACTTTCAGATGATCATCTAGAATTCACAAACTCCATGCTTAATAAATCAAAAAAAATAATAATTCAACCATACAAAAGCACAGAACAGGATTTAGAAATGTGTTTATTACATCTCTTAATCAAATGCGCACTCCTTTGCCTAGCTTACTTGATGGGTGAGGAGTTTTGAAGTATTTTCTCAAATCCACAGGCAATAGAGTGCACGTTTGACCTGCTCTTATACTGTCTGCGGCTGTGGAATAGTTCTAGCGACGTTCATCACTTATCACACTGCCGTACTCTAACGGAACTATCTTTTTCTAGCTAATAAATTATCACTAATGCTTCATGTTGATATTAGTATGGCATTTCCTCCCAACTCCAATCTATTTTAATTCTTATTATTTAATTAATATTAACTGGGCGTCAAAATATCAATAAATTTGCACCCCTATTATATAAGCTACGCAACAAAATGTATATGGGAGTTTTTGTACGCCCATTTGGACTACCTTGCGCTCATATGAGCAAAAATGCACACCAAACATACAACATGATAAATGATCTGTCTTCATCCAGCTTCAATGTGCATATTTAAATGTGGAATGAAAATATTCCAAACGCAGAAATTAATGATTGACAAAAAGACTTGCTTACATATGTGCCTTAAAATATATGAGCACACCAGAATTTGTTACGCCACTCAGGTACAAATAAAGCTTGCTTCATTTAGAATTGGAACAAACTTTTGCTCATATTGTGGTGCTCCTGGTGGACGGATTTGGATGTTCTTGGCGCCTACGTGTCAGGAATTTTGTCAGCTTCACGTATGTATTTTTGACATTCCGCAAATCGACTGTACTTTGTAAACAATCAACATGGAAGCCGAAAGAAGGGAAAAAATTGTGCATAGTTATTTGCAAAATCCATTGTGGTCTGCATCTAGGCTAGCTAAACAGCTGAAATTGCCCAGAAATACCGTATGGCGCGTTATCAAACGGTATAAGGAAACATTGACGACGATTCGGAAGCCTCAAGCCAATCGTCGGACTGGAACTGCCGACCGGAAACTGCGTGGTAAGATTTTGAAGACGATTAAGGGGAATCCCAATCTGTCGGACCGTGATTTGGCCAGAAATTTCGGTGCTGCCCATAGTACCGTGAGGTGAACTCGACTCCGGGAAGGAATCAAGTCGTATCGAGCTAGCAAACAGCCAAATCGGACCATAAAACAGAATAGTGTGGCCAAAATCCGTGCGCGGAAGCTATACGACCAGGTGCTGACCAAGTTCGACGGGTGTCTTCTGATGGACGATGAAACCTATGTCAAGGCTGACTTCGGGCAAATCCCAGGTCAAAAATTTTACTTGGCAACGGCTCGGGGGGATGTTCCAGCCAAATTTAAATTTGTTTTTGCCGACAAATTTGCACGAAAATTTATGATTTGGCAGGGCATTTGCAGCTGTGGCAAAAAAACGAAAGTTTTCGTTACAAATAAGACAATGACGTCGGAACTATACCAAAAAAAGTGTCTCCAAAAACGAATTTTGTTTTGGCCAGATTTGGCTAGCAGTCATTACAGCAAAGTCGTTCAAGAATGGTATGCAGAGAAAGGGGTCCAGTTTGTTCCGAAAAACCTTAACCCACCCAACTGCCCCCAGTTCCGCCCTATTGAGAAATACTGGGCAATCATGAAGAGTAGACTCAAGGCAAAGGGAAAGGTTGTCAAAGACATCAATCGGATGAAGACCTGGTGGAATAAGATAGCTAAAACGATGGACGAAGAAGGTGTGCGCCGCCTAATGAGCCGTGTTACAGGAAAAAATCGAGAATTTCTTCGAAACCGTGACGAATAATTTTATCCGTATTTTTTCTTAAAAGTATGAAGAAAACGCTACATTTGTAAAAAAAAAGATCTTGAATTCAATAATAAATAACTGAAATACAGGCAATTGTTTTTGTTCCAATTCTATCTGAAGCAAGCTTTAGTTCAATTTTTTTTGTACGGCCTTATGTGCGTATGTGCGGGAGAATTATTTTCAGTGAAGACCACTGAGCTTCAGGGAAGTTCCATTAATATCAGGAAATCTGCAAAAAAAACTTGACAGTAAACCTTGGGGCAATTCATCGGCTCCGCAAAGCTACAGCAAATGAGCCTGGAAAAATAAACGCATTATTTAAAAAAAAGCTTGGAGCGGTTCTGAAAACGTCAGGGCAGTTCCATGAATATTTGAAAAAAAAGGCACCCATTTACTTAAAAAAATGCAGTAACTTTCAAGGAGTTTCGAGGAAATATAAGATATTCCAAAAATTTCAGGAATGTTCCGAAATCGTCAGAAACATTGTAGGGTTATCAGTGGAGTTTAAAGAATATCAGAAAAATTGCCAAAACATTAGGAAATAAAAGCAATTTCAAATAAGTACCGTAAACATCAGGAAAGGTCAGACAACTTCAGGTAAAATAAAAGATTTGAGGGAAAGAAACAAGAGTTCCAAAGATGTTTCCAAAACTTCAGGTAAATTACGGGAAATTGTGGGAACATGTAAAAAATACAGAGAAATTCAGGGAAATCTACAGAACTTCGCGAAGTGCGGAGATCTTTTGGGAAGTTCTAATAACATCAGAAAAGAACGTTAAACATGAATGTCTTGAATTTTGAGGGGTTTTAAGATGGGGAAGAATTGGTTTCGATAATTTAAGGGTAGTTCCAATAACTTCAGAAAAATTTCGAGAACTTCATTGAAAATCTAAGAACTACATTTATTATTTTGTTTCTATTTCAGGAAAATAGTTGATAGCTGTGCATGATGAGACAAACTTACTTGATGTTGTTTTCACATTTTTCATGATCAATGTTTGTAGTTTTATCACATAATATTAAAGTAGATGCCAATTGATAGTGGATAGCGTTGTTATCTCAAAATTGGCGAAAATCCATCAAAACATGCGATTATAGGCAGTATATATGTCAGTCCATTCGGTACCTCATAGACAGCAATTTAGGATTAATCCCTGCCTCTTAGGTGGAGTGATACAACCTGCAACGATCGAGAACTGTTCTGGACACACTATTGCAACTGTTGGGATTGGAGGATTGTTAATTAGACACTTAATTAAGATAGATTCAGAAAACTCTACGACCCCTTATAAGAATCGCAGGGAGTGTTGTTAGTAGGGAGGGTAATACTGAAGGTGGTTGAACATTTTGATTTTGTTATACACCACTCAATTGATTCAAAATCAAGTCCTGATCGTTATTTAAAATTTAGATTCGGTTTGCCCTATAAAGTTTATATGGGAATTACTCTGAGAAAAGTAAACTTTTGGTTCTCAAGTCGATAACATTCTGAAATGATCAATCGGCTGTTTTTAGGGATACGAACTGTCAAAGCCAGAGTCAATCCAGCAGCACCTTTGTTGACTGCGTTGGCAGTGTTGCTAGAAATCACCTAGGCATAGGTTGATAAGGCAGTTTGATTTGAATCCGCCCCTCTCTTATACTATACCGTCTCTAACTTTTCCCATAGTAATTCCCATATAAACTTCGAAAGGCCAGTGCAGTATTTGATTGCAACCAAATGAGCTCAACTTTTAAGAGAATGTTTAGGACCTGATTTAGAATCAATTGAGTGGGGTGGAGCAAAATCGATGTTATGAATCACCCTAATAGGATACGTTTGGCAAGCGTTATTGGCAATTTATCAAGGTTACAAATGTGGACAGTCTAGGGATTGAACCCTTGACATTTTGCTCGCTGAGCAGAAACTCGGAAAACTAAGCCACCGAACCCGTATAACGTGTCCGACTGCTCATATTGATTCTAACAATGACTGCCAGCAGACAACATCTACCAAATGATCATAACGTTAGTTGTCTGAATATGAGAACAAACACCAGTTATTTTTAAATACAAAATCATAGCAACTTTGACAATGAATGGCAACGACAATAACAGAAGAAACAAAATTAAAACTGTGAATCCATTGCCTGATTCCATTCCATTTAACAGCCAACCATTGAAACTGAAAATTTATGTCATCGCTTAAGCACATCAAAGCCCATGTTCAACCTCGGGTTTCGTGTTATGCGCACCTTGGAGATACGGTGACGTGCAACTGACGTAGATGATCAGAATACCTGACATCATCAGAATCCGAAGGGTGTTGATCCAAACTGACATTCATCCAGCCCATCTTCCCACCATCATCGTCATCCAAATCGACTATGATGCACAGAAGAAACCTAATCGACACCTCCACCTACATAAGCCGCCGTCGTCCGCCGGTCTAATCCCTAATCCAATCAAAGCTGCAGCCCTCAAAACCGGCTATCCGTCACTAATATTGTGTTTATGCTGCGGCGACCTCCGTTGGATACCGAAAATGTACACCAACACACAAAGACGACGGCCGGCGGGTGAAAAGAGAAAAAACGATTAAGATAAGTGAGAATAAGAAGACGATAAACAGATGCACCCACCCAGTATCATTCTTTACGAAGTCGTTTGGATACTGCATCCCAACGATCACTGATGTGCATTGCCGGCGCTGCGTAGCAAAAGAGAAACACCGAAAACGGGGAAATTCTTGGAAGATACTTTGGACCAGATTCCTAACCAGGCCGAAGGTGCGTGGACAAATAAACACACATCGTCCGTCCCGACTCGATGTTGTTAGAGAAGCGCAAGCAAGAAGCATAACCTATTAGAGAAGGTGTCTAATACCCGCTTGACAGCGTTAATAATGCCTTTGGATGGCGACGGTTTTTTCGGCAGGCAGTTATATCTTTCTGACATTGATTTTACATTTTCTTGACTCTTTGTTAAGAGCTGCGATGATGTTAGGAAGGTAAATAGCCATTTCTAATCAGAAGATAAAGCATTTTGCTTCTTGGGAAGCTATCGTCCGTCTGGTCGAAAGAAGCTGAAAAGTATATGCAAGATCAAAGAAACTCACCTGTCCCAAATCGAGCGAAATGGTTACACGATCATTCTTGCTCGACTTCTGCATCGTCGGACTCTGCCACCAGCTATTCGTCCCATCGACAATGTTCGTAATGGGATGTCGTTTCTCCAGATCCGGATTGTTGGCATCGCATATGCCACACTGCGAAGATCGCGATCTGTGCCCATCGGGAGAACATGGAAACCACACACCGAAAAGAAACACAATTAAGATCGGAGATTAAATATTTGGTCAGAGCACTTTCGACACCCGTCAGTACTCCACTAAGTGAAGGGAGAGGTGAGAAGTGTCGTTGCATATATCGGAAGCTAAAAGCGTTACCTGTGTGGGTCCTGCAGGCGACAGTATTCCTCCTTGCCATGTTGACCACAGGTTGCATTCACCGAAATTGTCGCCCACATTGCAACGTTGAAAAACGATGGCCACAATCCGGTTGCCTTCTGGAAGCCATGCTCGAAATCAACCGCAGAAGATGATGTGAGCCCGGATAACAGTTTGAGATCTGGAATAAAAAAAAGATCGGCCAGGGATAATGGGTCAGGGAAGTTTCATTTTTAAATGTGATGCAAAAACATGTCTTTCAAGTAATAATTACAACAAGCCTTCACTGCACTAACCACCTCTAGCTCCACCACGGTCAATTAATAACAAAACAAATCTTACAAGTCATGGGACACTTTACAAGAAAATGTACCATAAATTTAAACACTAACAACACCACATGGACCGTGCCATCTAACCAAGATAAATTAATGGATGCGACCTGCTGAAGTCATGTTCCCAACGTAAACCATATCCAGGGTTGCTTCCACTCACTTGCTATAAAAAAATGATTTTCTGAATTTTGAAATCATTCGATGTTATAATGATATTTTGTACTTGTTAGATACAAGAAGCGGATGAAAGACAAGTGTTTGACTCATAAAACCTGTCAATTTCACTAACAGAGTGTTACAATAAGCGATTTTATGATTCGTGAGCGTTCACTCAGAGTGAGCGCTCGCGAGTCGTAAAATCGCTGATTGTGACTATCTGAAAGCGAATTTGATAGGTTTCTTGTGTCAAACACTTGCCTTTCAACCTCTTCTTGTATCTAACAAGTACAAAATATGATTATAGCATCTAATGATTTCAAAATTCAGAAAAAACATGTTTTTATAGCAAGTGAGTGGAAGCAAGCCTGACCATATCGCCTTGATCTTGTTTCCGTTTTGGGGAGGTCTTCTCCACACCTCCTTTGTATGTATTCACCACCAACCGGGTGTCAACAACAACCGCGGCAACACGCGAGTCAAGCACGTGAAAACTTACAATTTTATTCAAATTACGTGCCGCGGCTTGCCCTCGTAGGGAATAAATCGAAATTGATGAACCCTAATAAACTAAATCCCTCCACCAAACGAATTCTCACTCTCAGCCCAATGATGATGATGCGATCCCTAACGAAACGATGCGACAAAGCCAACGCAACAGCGACCTTCCAACATTTGATCTAGCTAGACATCCTACACTTAATGGGATGCTAGACAGTGCCCTATTTAGTTGTTGTATCTACCTCTGAGAAAACTCAGTGAATGAAAAAAAAATAGGTGAGGACACATGCCGCTCTAGACATAAAGCATAAGAGCATTTCTAGCTCAAATCGTTAAAAAAAATGTCAATTTTGTCTCGACCCCTTCTGATTTGAATGAAACATTGCTCACGTGTTCGCTGCTACTAATGGTTGCATTTTTCATTTAAATATGATTTTTTCCTCCAGAGTAACTTTTGAAAAGGGCGTATAAAAAAATTGATTATTTTTTTTTTCAAAAAATCATAACTTGAAAACTATTGATCTGATCAAAACGGCATATGAGAAGAAGTTTTAGGTAGTTAAATTATCTTTGCTGAAAAAAATACACTGAAAGAAAAAACTTCGTAAATTAGTATTTAAAAAACGTAAACGATGATTATCTCAAAACACCCCCCCTTCGATCTTTATAATTTTTTTTTTCAAGAAAATTGATGAAATACACTTAAATTTCGTGAAAAGTGTATGCTGGTAACTTCCTTAAAAAAAAATCTATAATTTTTTAAATTTTTGTTGATTTTTACAAGTTGATGAAAATGCATATTTTTTTGAAAAATAACAATTTATTTGGATTCTACGCATAATTTTCGATAACTTTGCGTGTAAAAACTTTTTTCCTAAGTCCAGCCGTTCTCAAGTTAATGCAAATTAAAAAAATATAATTATAACAATTTTCAACATTTTAGGCCATTTTCAAATGTTCGTCGAGATGTCCAGCAACGAGATTTTATTTCATGATTGTATATTAAAAAACAAACAATTCATTCTCAGATATGGTAGCTGTCAGACTTACCCGTTTCTATCTAGAGGCAGCGGAAGAGAAGCACGTTGATGTGGTCAAATGAAAGATTTGTTGAGATAAGAAACAGTATATATTTATTATTTTATTTTACAACTCATATTATTTGAATACATTGAATAATTTGGGTGCATCGTTTTAATTAGAGAATATTTTTACTGCAATTTGGTTGTTTGAAACTGGAATATAGCAATGATATTTTCGAGTTCCAGGAATTGGTTTCACTTTCTTAAAAATTGGATCAAATTCCGTGTCAGCCTTTTTGTATTCTTCCGTAGAAACATAACAAAATGACATTTTTGTTTGAAGATCTTCTTTACGACTATTTGCCCAGTCGTACAGTTGTTTAGGGTTCGTTATAGGGTGCTCGTGTTGCTTAGCTAAACTTGCTCTGGTTGCCATTCTCTTAAGGGTACCGCCAATCGCATCACAAGGACCTTTGCCGTGTGAAGTTGCAAAAAAATGCCATTCCATTTCTACATTATGCTTATCTTTAAATCCACAAAGGCTAGCAAATTTTTTATGTTTTTGTATTGTGATGCTGCTCTATCTAACATAAAAATACACTTTTGGACTGTTATTTGCGACTTTAAAAATTCTAATAATTTTGAGATAAACAACTGAACTGCTACTGTGTCATGCTTTGAAATTGATTTAGGTAGAGGTTTACAACACTTGAAATTGTTATCCATCGTAAAAAACTACTTGCTTTTTAACTTGAAACGCTAAGAGAGATGAACTGAATGGAACAGGTGAAGATCGTCCCAATATATATATATATATACAATATATACAATACAATATATACAATATATATATATATATACAATGTTGACATTATACCTATCTTCATTAGGTACAATTGATTATAGCAAACTTTTTTAAGTGTGAGTGTAAGAAGCCTCCACGTGGTGCCTTTTTATGTAGTTGTGATATCGCGGGATGAGCTCTTAAGGCACAATATGGTATACGTCAGAGAAGTACCTAGAGAATTTATCTCAATTACAGGTTTAATAACATATTTGTTTACCTGTTTATGTTTTGAGCCTCTGTTATGACATACACAATTCTATCCAGGTATACAACTAATAGAGGACAGAAAAAAGGCACATGAGTGGGTTTGTTGATTATTTGGGTATATATGAGAGTATTTACTTATAAACTTGTTTCTTTTCCGCTGCGTCTAAATAGAAACGGGTAAGTCTGACAGCTACCATATTTGAGAATGAATTGTCTGTTTTTTGATATATATTCATGGAAAAACATCTCGTTGCTGGACATCACGACTAACATTTGAAAATGGCCCAAAATGTAGAAAATTATTATAATTATTTTTTTTTAAATTGCATTAACTTGAGAACGGCTGGACTTAGGAAAAAAGTTTTTATATGCAATGTTTTTGAAAATTATGCGTAGAATCCAAATAAATTACTATTTTACTAAAAAATATGCAATTTCACCAACTTGTAAAAACCAACAAAAATTTCAAAAATTATAATTTTTTTTTTTAAGAAAGTTACCAGCATACACTTTTCACCAAATATTAGGGCATTTTTTCAGTTTTCTTGAAAAAAAAAATTATAAAGATCGAAGGGGGGGTGTTTTGAGATAATCATGGTTTTACATTTTTTAAATACTAATTTACTAAGTTTTTCTTTCAGTGTATTTTTTTCAGCAAAGATAATTTAACTACCTAAAACTTTTTCTCATATGCCATTTTGATCAGATCAATAGTTTTCAAGTTATGATTTTTTGAAAAAAAATAATCCATTTTTTTATACGCCCTGTTCAAAAGTTACTCTGGAGGAAAAAATCATATTTAAATGAAAAATGCAACCATTAGTAGCAGCGAACACGTGAGAAATGTTTCATTCAAATCGGAAACACTCATGACCAACCGGTTTGCGTTTTGGGCTGGAAATGCTCATAATTCAATTATACGTACTTTCGTCAAATTTACGACTAGGTTTACACAATAAATAACACTAATGAGCTTTTCAGAGATTCTGCCTTTTTATGTATTGACTCTACTCTCCTCCCAAGAGAAGAATTCCTGCTGTCTCACGTGCTCACTGGATTTACGAGCTTATATGGCAGTTAGAGAGGAGAACTGTGGTTTATTTTAAATTAATGGAAAAATATGTTATGTATGCTATCGGGTTACTTGCCTCGCGGATAATCAAACTAATCAAAATTAATGGTCGATAAGTCAGGCTATGCTGGGAGCGAAAAATTTAGTAAACCAGAGCTGAACAGCCAACACAAGTCTTACTACCTATTACGGACAAGTAAAAGTGATATCTACTTAGAATCCTCAAGTATACAATAAGCTCTATCTTTATATTAGCCTGACGTAGGATAGATGTGAAGTAGTAAAAAAGTACTTTCATAAAATAAATATATCAAAATACTTCCATCTCTCTGATAAAGCAACGTTTTTTTTTTTAAATAGGACTACGTCTTTCTTTACGATACTGGGGGTCACATTACGAAATCGAAATGAGGCATGTAAAGAAAATCAGGGAAGTTTTCAAACGCATATTTCTCAAAACCATAAATGAGAAAAATGTCATGCAATATGTCATTCGACGGAGAATGTATCCAGTAATTTTTGGTGTATAGTACAAATAGTAAAAATAGTTAAATAAGAAATATAACGAACAAAAAAGGAATATTTCTCGAACTAATGTGAAGAGCGCATCCGTCCGCTCTTCAGATTAGTTCGCAAAATGAATATATGTTCTCTCGCATGGACAGAAGAACATGACGGCTACGTTCGTGAATGCATAGTGTGTTTTCAAAAAATGAAAGAAAAAGATTCAACGTTTATTTTTCTTTATAACTATAATAAACAAAAGCATTCTTGCTCGTGAAATTGTATCTAAAAAAAATAATTACTCAAATATGGGTATTATTCAAGTAGCAGCTGTCATCCATAACTGAAGTTTTTATACCTTCTAACATATCTGATTTCGTCGTACTTCTAAAGCACAACGTTTTGGCTGTATCCCATAGGAACGTATTTCTCACTTTTAGGACCACCATTAAATTATGGACAGAAGTAAATAAATGAGCTAATTATCATTTCATATAATGAGAATCCTGCCCAGAACATGTGAAAAATAACGTAAAA